TATATTCTTTATTCCGTGTAACGTAATTAATTTATTATATAACTGTTTTGACTGTGATTTTATACATTGTTCGCGTAATTTATTCCGGCTATTTATCTATCTATTTATCTATTTAATAGCATATACATATTTATACATAGACGTATTGCGAATCGAACTCCCAGGGAACACTCGGCTATTGCGCGCGTGGCCCTTGTAAAATAAATAACATCAAGACAGCAATAAGAACAACATAAATATAAATACAAATAAATAACTAAAATAAGGTGGTACTAAAATAAATAAAATTAAAACTATTCAATACCTAAAACGCAGGGTTCTTTAAATTTTATCTCTAACTTTCTCTATCTTCTTTTTCTACATTTTCTATCTTTTCTCAATTCTTTTCTCTAAATAAATTCTCATAGTACCACCTTTTGGCTGATCTCATATATATATATATAGTGAAATGGAAGGGCCACGCGTGATCGTCCTCGCCTACCCGCTTCCGAACAGAGTACAGTGCCCGCGCTGCTACAAAGGCGGGGACGATTACGAACGCACGCGAGGGGAGTTTTGCGATCCGGCTCACCTAGTCAAACATCTTAATAAAATGCACCCGGGGGACACGGTCGCGTACGAGTGCTCGGTGTGCCAGTACCGGGGTAAATCCCGGTACCCGAAGAAAGACGTGGCCGCCCACTACGACCGCCTGCACTCGGTCCCCCGGACAGAGCCGACGCGAACTTCCGGCACGGGAACGCCTCCGGTGCAGTCGCCCGCGCGCGGCAGGTGTGCCACCGAGGGCACAGGTGCGCGGGCGGGGGGGACGCGCGCGCTGAGACAGCTGACGCTGGCGGGCGCGCTGTCGACGAGCCGGGGCCGCGTTGCGCGGCCACCTGGGCGCCCCACGGCCTCCCCAACGCCATCGCCACCGCCACCCATCACCACCAGGGCCGGATCCCCCTCATTCGCGGCCGTTACCGCGGCGTCGAGAGTCAGCCCATTGACAGCCGGGGCACGCGGTACGGTCGCCACGGGGAGCACCGCGCTGCGCAGCAGCAACAGCAGTAGCAGCAGAACATCAGCAGCAGGAGCAGCCGCCGCGAGGACGCGGACTCCTCCTGGCCAAGTGCCAGCCTCCAATGGTCCGCTGGCCAGGTCGACGCGCGCTCCTCTCCGCCCAACGCCATCACCACCGGCATACACCGAGGAGACGGCGGAGAGGAATAGGCGAATTTTGAGCCTCAGGCGCAACAGGTTGCCCGCCGCCCCACCACCACCCGCGGCCTCCGGCACTGGGGCCGGAGCCACGCGGCGGGCAACGCGCGCGTCGACCTCGATGCCGAGGGAGATTCCCTCCAGGCCGGTGCGCAACTCCCCCCCTCCCCCGTCAACCCAGGCGACGGGGGGCCCGTCCACCAGCAGGGGGGGAGATAATAGAAGGATGACGCGGTCAACGAGCGTACCGGCCGTGAAGACGGGAGCACGTCAGCGGACCACGCCGCCCCGACTTTCACCTATCGGGGAAGCACCACCCTCCCGCCGGGTCGCCACGAGGAGCCAGGCGAAGAGACCCGGCGGGCAGCAGGAGAGAACACCGCCGCAGCCTAGGGTGGTGCTAAGGAGGCTGAGCACGCCGACGTCGCAACAAGGGGGCGTATCACCGA